TAACGTTTTTTAAGTTTAAATAGCATCATAATTGATTCTATGCGGAAAAATTCTATCTACGCATAAAAATCTATGCATAATTGATTCTATGCAAAAAAGTTCTTAAAATTGCATTTGTGCATTTTATGTTTCATTAAAGTTGGGAGAACTTTCTCAAACTTTTCAGATTAGGGTCCATCTAAACTTTAAAAATATTCTTTTCAGAATAGGGTCCTTATTGACTTGTAGTATATTTTAACTCATTTTGGATAAAAAAAACTCACAGTATATTTTGGATAAAAAAAACTCACAGTATATTTTGGATATAAATCAATAACTGAACTAACAACATCAACTGTCAGAGCTGAAATTATATTTCCAACACATATTGAAGTTAAGACAATACCCATAAATGTCCAAATTATTAACAGCACTCTGCCACAAAATGTTAAAGGAATCTTGTCACCGTAACTGAATAAAAACATTTTAAATTTTCATAAGAAGTAAAAGAGTAAGCAAAAAAATATATATATTTTCCTTTAATAAAAATAATATTATAAAAAAAGTTTCATATACCCAACAGTCGTAATAGTTATAATTGAAAAGTATATTTCTTCAAATATACCACTCAAAGTAAAACAATGACTTTTTCTTCGAGAATTTTGATATTGCTAAAAAATGAACAAAAAGATTTTGATAATGTTAAAAAAAAGTTATAACTTACTAAAGTTACAACTTTAATTTTTTAACAATTAGTTCACTGTTTGCTTTATTATCTGTGTGTATAATATAATATAATATATTCAATACTTACACAATAAAACAAGATGACACCAAATAAACAATTTAACAAAATGTAGATTAAAAGTGTTGCCAAACTACTTGCAGTATTTTTAAAAACTATTTTTTCATTTTCAGTCAGCTGAACAGATCTATTACTTGGAATAAACAAAAATACAAAACCAGAAAGCTGTACTGTTGACGAATAAGAGCTATTATGAACTTGTACAGGTACTGTGACAGGAAGTTTTATTTTATTTGAACTCATTTTTACAAACTCTAAGCTAGTTTTTTGCACTTTTGTATAAACAAAAGAAATGTTTTTTGAAAAAGAGGAACAAATACCAGCGCATTGTTTCAAGGAATGTTCTGTTGGTGCAATCATTATACCTTCAGGTGGAAATTGTGAGGACTTATTTAAACTTGCAAATGGTGGTAAAGTAATGTAATTTATTTCAACAACAGGATTTAAGATATGACATGTTACTAAAATAAAAATTGCAAAATTTTTACTTACTAATACTATAATTAAAAACTATACTTTTACAGGCTACTCCTTCATTTTTACAGGCTACTCCTTCATTTTTACAGGCTATTCCTTTATTTTTATAGGCTACTCTTTCATTTTTACAAGTTGCTCCTTCATTTTTACAGGCTACTCCTTCATTTTTACAGGCTACTCCTTCATTTTTACAGGCTACTTCTTCATTTTGGATTAGTTATAGCTTTTTTTTTCATGATGACAATCAAAAATGTGTTTTAATGGCGGAAATATATTTGTATATATACCTATAATTTTTGGTATGCTAGTGTTCATCATAAGTTTGCTTCATATAGTGTATCTAGAAAAATATTTGAGATTATCAAATTGTTTGTTTCTAACCATTTCATTTAAGTCATCTACAAAGGCCAACATTTTCTTTATTTCTAGTAACTTCTGGGGTACCTCAAGGTTATATCATTGGTGCTATTTTGTTTTTTATCTTAATTTATTATTGTGGATATTTATTTATTTATTATTATTTAACTCAACTTTATACTCTTTATATTATTATACTCTTTGTTTTATTGTTAAACAATTTCTCATTAATATCTATACTTTTTATTTTTTCATTAAACAGTTTTTTGTTAATACCTTAATTTATATTCTTTATTTTATGATGAAAAAGTTTCTCATATAATATTTTAGTTAAAACTCTTTATTTTATTATTAAACAGTTTCTCATATAATATCTTAGTTAAAAAGTCTTTATTGGACAAAAAACCTGATGTTATACAACTGGAAAACAATTCTAAATATAAGAAAAATGATAGTTTGATGAGGTTTAATAAACAACAGACTTAAAACTAGACTACTACAGAATGATAACTAATGCATACAAAATTAATGCAAGAAACACCACATATCAGCAAAAAGTTGAACAATAATTAGGTGTAAAAATAACAGCGGCATTTTCTCCATTTTGTCTAGAAAAAATCGCCATGGAAAATTTAAAATTACATCTTGCAGTACTGTGTGTAAGAAATAGTTACAGAGTGGCAGTAGGATCCAAAAGCACTTTAGTGTTATGAGAAAATACAATCAAAATCAGCAAACAGCAGTCAAGTTTGTAAAGAAGCAGATGCTTTCTGACAACAAGATTGCAAAATAAGACGACCACAAAGATGAAAATATTTATATGAAAATTAGTCTGTCGAGGAAACTCTCCAGATCAAATTTTAGTAAATCCAATACTTAACAAAAAACTCTACCAAATTGCTAAACTGCTAATTAATTCAATTAATGAAAAGGTAATTAAGTTCACTGCACATTACTTATCAAAATATAAAGTCAAAATGATACCAGCTAACATAATTATAGGTTTCGTGTGATTCCCACTTTAGATTTATGATGTAAAGGCTGACCAAATAAAGCATAGAACGTTTACAAGAGGTTACAAATAAAATTACTAGCCATTTGGGTAACAACTCTGCAAAGATATACACCTATAAACTGGAGTGCTAAAGGCTTCTTAATAATTTCACTGTAAAGAAAATAACACAATTAGTCAATTTCTGGATAACTGACAGTTAGAAATTATCCAAAGTCAGTGACTGCACAACGGCGCTGCATCATCTTGATGTAGATGAAAGTTTCAAATTTAATTCTATGCATTGATCATGCATGTGATTGCATCCAACAAGAACATGTTTAAGTCTGGCTGCAATGTTCATATACTTGTTACATTAAAATTATGGGTCAAACTATCCAGCCTCAACTGGTAATTGCAAGATGTAATATCCCCCATTCACAAATCTTGGATCTGAATTAGAATTTGTGAAACTAAACAGTTCAGTGAAACAATCAGATTATAAAACTACTAGAAGCATATAAAGTACACAATGGAACTCTTACACAAAAAAATTTGAACAAACTAAACAAATTGACAGAAAAGCAATTACTGAAAATTTTACTATATTTAGAAACCATATTTAGAAACCACCATAGTTAGAAAAAAAGTGTGAATCTCTAAATATTAATACTGTAAAAATTCAATGTTCAATGTTCAATGTCGTTTCGTTTTCGTTTTTAAAGCAGTTTTAATTAGTTACTAGGCTTTTCTGAACTTGAAACAGTGCGTTCTCAAAATGCACGCAGTTATTAGAGGAAGATCTTTCAACCGAGTTAAAACTTTTTACCTTTAGAATTGAATTAATTTTAAAATTAGTTTAGAAATATTACATAAAGAATCATATTAAGATAAATAATCATTGTTAAGATCATATTATAATAATCATCGTTAATATCTTATAAACATTGAAAATAGTTTCGCAATTTATATATAATATTTTTTATTAAAAATAAAGTGAAAGGATCACTCCTTTAAATTTTTTAAATCGTTTACATTTTGTTTGTTTTAGTTTTTCTTTTGGCTTTATTTTTTTCTAGCAGTTTTTATTGAGCATATCTTTAATTTTTTAGAAGTAAGATAGAGGTAAAGATGAAGTCTAATTGTTTTTTATGCAACAAAAAAGTTATACTAATGCTATTTCAATAAAATTGGTTATTACTACCATGAAATTTGATGCTATTAACTGTTTTTGCTCTTTTTTAGAAAATTTAGAAAAATAAATTGAAATTTCGTGCCACACTACATGTTATTGTATGTAAAGATTAAATTTTTGTTATGAGAATTACAGTTTTATGAAAAAAAAGGTAAAGAGTATTGTTTGTATATATTTATATTTTGTTTACTTTGAATCTTTTAAAATTTTCTCATGCCATTTTTAAAATTTTTGTTTGCACAATTCAAGTTATATGTTTATTGTTTACATTGCTTTTTTGATAATTATGTGTATATTGTAAAATGTGCTTTATAGCTTTTTTATCAATGTGTTTTTATAATAATATAACATGTTTTTTTATTGTTTGTGTATGTGTTAATATAAGTTATATAATTGTTTTATAAATGTGTTTAAATATGTTTAAATATGTTTATATAAGGTTAAATATATATGTATATATATATATATATATATATATATATATATATATATATATATATATATGTATAAATATATATTGTGTTTATAGTTGGTTTATATGTTTATATTATGTTATTTCCATGTTTTCAAAGTGCTGTGACTTGGTAAACGTGTAAAGCAAGATTTGTCAACCTTGCCAGCCAAGTCATTTACTTACTGCAGAGGGTTACACAGCAGTGTTTTCTGTCAAACTGTTACTGCTTTAGGTCTAGGTGTTTTCAAGCCTTTATTAATAATTACTCTGAAAATACATAATGTATTTTAATAACATTTTATGTAATGTTGTTACTTATGTTCTGTTATATATGAAAATTGCTGTTGTTGTGATGTTGTTTTTTTGTAATCTTTTGAGTTGATATACATTTAGCTTACCTTCAAGTTGTTGCCTATTGTTAAAAATGATGTATAGGTAATTTCATTATTAGACCTCACTGCTTTTAATCATTCACTAAAAGCCTACTACTCTGTATTATATATATTCACTAAAAGCCTACTACTACTACTCTGGTAAATCACAACAGATTTTCTCTATCAGGTACAACGATTTTTGTTTTTTGTATGTAATGTTTTTCTTATTTTTTTTACTTATTTGTTACATTTTTTATTTTAGATTTATTAAATGATGTATTTATGTGGTATAGAAGAACAAAATATTGTTTAAGTTTTGTAGACAGTTTCTTATATTTAAAAATTATTTGTGTGTGCTATTTAGAGTAGAAAAAAAATTATATAGAAAAGATCCTCAAGTTTCTTTTTAAGATTTTTTGTTACTATTTTCAATTAAAAGTTAAGCTTAAATTGATGATATTAGGCTAGAAGTAGATATTCGTTTAGAAAAAAATGTTAATGGGCAAATTAATCGTCGCAGAAATCAAAGAGATAGGCTTAGGCGAGATTTTATATTAATAATCAACAAAATGCTAGGTATGCTTCTCGGCAAGCAGCAAATAATTTGAGGCCAAATGAGGAGAGTGTGGTTATGCAAGTTGAAAATAATCGTCACAGAAATAAAAGAAATAGGCTTAGGCTAGATAAAATTAATAATCAGCAAAATGCTTGATATGCTGCTAGATACGAATGAATGTATTGTATTGTAAAAAGTAATACTATTTCAGATTGTAAATTATTTTCCTAATTTGTAATTTTTTTTTTTTTTAAATATTGTATATTTGATTTGTTTTTGTTTTTAATTAAAATTTTAATTTTTCTTTCACCAATTAAACTTTTTTAATTTAAAGAGCGCGTTTTTTAAGTACATGCGGTCAAACCAAAAGGTCTACCGAGCCAGACCCGACGAACTTCTCTTAACTTTTTAGGGAAATCATTTTTATATAGTTTCATTTTACATGTTTACTTAAGTTAAATTTTACAATATTTTATTTTAGGACGTTGTTATGTTGTTATAAAAAGAAGAGTTGTAAAGTAAAAATCTTATTTTTACTTTATAGGTATTATTTAATTTTATTAATTTAATTATATTTTTGAGTATCCCATAAGTCATATGTCACACACTATTATCCGCCTTAAAGTTCATCTTCCTGAGAATCAATTAGTGTATTTTAGAGAAGGAGCAGAACAAATGGCTTTAGATCGTGCAGCTCAACGTGATACACACCTTACGGCATGGTTTAAGTTAAATTCTGAAAATGAAAGAGCACATTGCTATTCATATGTAGACATTCCTTATCATTTTATATTTGATGATAAGCTTTGTAAATGGAAGGTTAGACAAAGAGGTGGTAATAAGGTGATAGTAAGAATGTATAAAGTTAATCCAACTGGAGAATTATTTTTTCTTAGGCTGTTACTTTTGCATGCAAAAGAAGCCAAGTCTTGGGAGGATGTGCGTACTGTTAATGGTATTGTTGTTGAAACATTTCGTGAAGCATGCGTTTTAAATGGTTTGTTACAAGATGACACTGAGTGGCAGAATGCACTTTCTGAGGCAGTTTTAACATGTATGCTAAAGCAAAGTAGACAGTTATTTGCAATTATTTTGACTTTTTGTGAACCAGACAATCCTTTGCATCTTTGGAATACATACAAAGCATTTATGATTGAGGACTTTATTCACCGCTCAGTCCCGCTTATAATAGCTGAACAAGCTGCTCTTTGTCAAGTTGAAAAGATTATTAATCAGTGTGGTAAAACGCTGGCTGATTATAATCTGCCTGTTGTTGAGTTAGATTTTAATCTAGATAATCTAGAAAATTTCAATCAAAATGTACAACAATCAATTGATGAAGCCAATAGAATGAGACCACTGCTCAATGTCAATCAATTAAATGTATGTAATGCTATTCTTGCTGCATTGAATGAACAACCAAGTGTAGAAAATCAGCATTATCAATTGTTTTTCATGGATGAACCGGCTGGTAGTGGAAAAACGTTTACATATAATTATTTGATTGCTGAAACCAGCAGTAGAGGTATTAAATCTGCTACAGCTGCATGGACTGGCATAGCAGCAACTCTTCTTAAAAATGGATCTACATTGCATGGCTTATTCAAACTTCCTGTTCCGATATTAGATAACAGCACATGTAATATAACTCCAAACTCTATACATGGACACTTTTTAAGTCAGGTTAGTTTGTTTTTGCTTGATGAAACATCCATGATACTTAAACATGCATTGAATGCAATTGATAGGTTATTAAAAGATGTTTTCAACAACAACTTTCCATTTGGAGGAAAAGTCATTCTTTTTGGAGGCGACTTTAGACAAATACTGCCTGTTGTGAAAAGAGGACAACCAGCTGAAGTTGTAGAAGCATGTATAAAATGTTCTTTACATTGGCAATGGGTGCAGAAGTTTAAGTTAACTGAAAATATGAGAGTACATGATGGGGAAAGGGAATTTTCAAATTGGCTGTTAAGACTTGGTAGTGGAACAGTATTTATCAAAGAGGAAGATCCTTTTAAAGGATGCATTGAAATACCGCATCAATGCCTTATTAGGGAAAATGACTCCATTGTTGAAAAGATATTTGGGGATGCCGAACAAGACGATTATGCTAAACGTGTCATTTTGACACCAACTAATGTGGATTCACTATCAATCAATGAAGAAGTGCTTCAATGTCTACCGGGTGAGGTCAAAACTTATTTAAGTGCTGATCAAGTTGAGACAGACAATCTTAATGAAAGAAATAACTTTCCTGTTGAGTTTTTAAATAGCTTAATTCCCTCAGGTATGCCTCCTCATTCTTTAAAGTTTAAAATTGGTTGTATAATTATGTTACTTAGAAATTTAGATCTCAAAGCTGGGTTATGCAATGGCACTCGAATGAAAGTTTGTGCTCTTCAAAATAATTATATTGATGCAGAGGTTTTGACAGGTGTTTCTGCTGGTAAACGGGTATTTGTACCTCTAATTCAGTTGGCTCCGTCAGATTCTAATTTACCTTTTGTTCTAAAACGTCGCCAGACCCTGTCATATTGGCATATTTAATGACAATTAATAAAAGTAAAGGTCAAACATTTGATAGAGTTGATGTATATCTAAAGAAACCATGTTTCACTCATGGCCAACTTTATGTTGCATGTTCAAGAACTAGAGCATTTAATAGTTATTTTTTAAAATTGATAAACATCCCATTCAAGGTATGATAGGTGAAAAGTGTTACACAAATAATGTTGTATTTTCTAATGTTCTTAATTTATAATTATGAGATTTTTGTTATAATTTTCACTTTTTTTCATAGTTTTATTTTATATTGTTTTAATAATTATATTTGTCTTTATACATGTTTATAATTGTTATATGTGTTATGTAAGTGTTATATGTATGTTATGTGTTAGTTGCTATTTAAATTGTTCATGTAATACTTGGGCTATATGTGTTATCAAGGTTATGTGTTTAGGGTTTGTGTATATGTGTTTATAGTTTGTGTATATATGTTTATATTACGTTGTTTCCATGTTTTCAAAGTGGTGTGACTTGGCAAACGTGTCAAGCAAGATAGTTAACCTTGCCAGCCAAGCGGTGTACTTAAAGCAGAGGTGTGACTTGGCAACATTTAGTGCCAAGGGGTTTTAATGCTTTGTTGTGGCTAGGTTGTGTTGTCTGGTCTTTTTTAATTATTCTGGAAACACGTAATGTCTATTAATATTAAGCATCATATGTACATACAAATATGTCATGTGTTAAATGTGTTAATATGTTTTATAATGTTATATCGTGACGATCATAGCACAATTGCCTAAGTCATTTTTTGAAGGTTTTTCGGAAGTTAAGAGTTGAAATATATAGCTTAAACAATCTTCTATAATGTGGCGAATCGCCTTAAACCAATCAGAAAGGAGTTGATTTTTAATTTTTTCACTTCTGCTTAAATCCGCATTTTTACTTATATCATTTTTACTTATATCTATTTTTGACCTATATCCTATTGTGTCTCAACGGTAATACACATATCACTTCTAAAGCAATATATGAAAGCATCTGAGTAAAAAGATGCCAAAAATAAACCAAAGTGACGTAGCAAAAGAAATACCGAAGTTATTCATTTTTTTTAGTTTTATCAAAACAAGAAAAAAATGACTTAGGCGATTGTGCTATGATCGTGACAATATGCTTATAGTTTGTTTCTTTGTCTATTTTATGCAGTGGTTTTAAAGTAGTTTGACTTTGCCATTGTATAGAGCAAGTGTAATGTGTACTTATAAATATCTTATGTGCTTTTGTTGTGCGTTGTCGTTGTGCGTTATCGTTGTAACATTGTTGTGATAATTTGTGTTGATAGACAGTTGGCTTACCTTCCCATTGGTGTCTATCGTTAAAAATGATTAACTGGTAGTTCTATTCATGGAGCTTACTGTTTCTAATCATTCACTAAAAGCCAAGACAAAACATATTGCTATAAACACAATTTGTTTATATTTCAATTTGTTTTTTTTATCTTTAGTGTTGTTCATAGTTCTTTAAAACATTTTTAATTGGCTTTTTAATAAATGTTAATTAATTAAACATTTTGAAACCTTTTTTTTGTCTTCAATTAAAGCCAGCATGAAATAATGTCATTGAACAACACCATCAAATACTGCTTCATCAAAACAGCAACTGCAGTTTGCTAAAAACAGGTTAATTGTTTTCCTATTTTAAAAATGTTTTTCTTTTCTATTATATTTACTTATCTATTATATTTTTCTTTTAGACACCATGTGACGTATTTATGCGATATAGGAGAACACAAATAATTATGTTTTGCTATTAAATAATAAAATTTTGTTAAAAAAAATACTTATTATTAAATAAATTTGTGATTTTGTAATAAACGGAAGGGTCGGATTTTAGAAGCATGAAATATTTGAAAATTTCTGTTTGAAATGCATTTTTCATCTATGACAGAGAGACCTTTATTTAATTAACTAAAATTTAATTATGCGCACATTAAACGCTTTTAAGTTAAATAGAACATTTTTTTCCTTAATAAAGGAGAGGGGGTTACCAAAAAATTAATAAGTGTCCCGTTAGACATTAGAAGTTAACATTTATATAAGTATTATAATAAAATTTTTAAACTGCTCCAAAAAATTTAAAGATGTTAAGGAAAATTTCAACTAAATGATAAAAAAAACGCCTTCACTCTAAAACAAATAATATATATCCAAAAAAAAATTAGTTTTTGTCATATTTAACAGTAACTCCCTTATGTTAATTATTGTGTCTTCTTTTTAACACGGTGCCTTGGAAACACTGTCTTAGTCTCACTTAAATAAGAATTAATAAAGTGAGATAAAACCTGAATAAGTACGGAGCTCTTGCGTACTTCTTAACACTATTGATAATGACCGTGTATAAACATAATTTACGCGTTGTTTGCTGTTTTATAATATAATTATAACTATAAGCAATGACATTGCTAATAGGGAGCCGAACTTTAAATACAAATTTATCTGTAAAATTACTTACAGATAAATTTGTATTTAGATATATTTTTTTAGATAACGTAGTAAGTTATGTTGTTACTAATGGTTTAGTTATTTTTAACCCGTATTACGAGTTGCTTACTGCTAGTAATAGATAATAAGTTCAAAATAGTTCACAAACAACAAACTCAAAATCTCAATAAAAAATAAAGTGAAACCAGAAAACAATATGTAAGTTATTGTAATTATAATAAATTGTTGATAGATATTTATAATTTTGGCATGTTTAACTTGCTATAAAATTTTTTTTAACTGTTTGGTTATATTCATGTTATCTATGGTTTGAAAACTCAGTGAAATAAATAATATGTTTTCATTCACCAATTTTGATTATATTTATTACGAATGTTATTTAAAGCCATGATTTTAAATCACCAGGTATTTATGGGATTTCTAAAAAAAGTCCTGATTTGCCTAATCCTAAATACAATGATGTATTATTGAATAATACTAATGGTTTTAAAATAAAATATGGTTAAAAAATAATTTATTTAAACTTACCAAAATTAATAACACCACTAAATGATCCAATACCTATCCTATTGTAACCAGCTATTTTAAGAGTATACTGAGAATATAGCCGTAAGTTCTCAAGTTGGTGCATTGATTGATTTGTATAAGTTATATTGATCATTACCCAACGTTGATTAGGAATGTCTATATTTCCTTGTTTAAGAAGCTTATATGCTATAGTGTAACCAAGAGGTCTTCCTCTCCAATCACTTTGATTTAAGTGGATCCATGAAACATTTGTTTTATCTGGGTAATAATATGATGTGGCTGTTAAACCAGTAGGGGCTTTTATAGGTACTGATAAGAAAAAAAATGATTTCAAATTTATCTAAAGTTTGAAATAATTATTCTATTAAAAATATTTCTATACAAAAAATATTTCATACAAATAAATTAAAAAAGAAAAATTTCTTAGTTCTTTTATAAAAAAAATTACCAAATTGGTTTTTCCATTTTTTCCATAATTGGTTATTTGAACAACACTTTAAGAATAATAAAAGTTGGAAAACTTTTATTCTTTTATTCAAAAATTCACCTTCAAAAAGTGAATTTTTGAACCAAAAAGTAAATACAAGTTGAGCAAAGTACTACTAGGGACGAAGTATGGATTGAACACTGAACTTCTTGATTATGAAGAGAGAGCTCTACTCTGCAACTTATATAAATATATTTTTAATAATAAGCTTTAAACTACCTTGAATAATTTTATAATAACAACCATTCAAATCATAGACCTATATAAGTTTATACAATCTAAAAACCAATAATCATGCTTTACTACTTAATTTTAAATTATATAAAATTATACAAGGTTAAATTATTCTTGGACAAAAAATACTCAACATCTCATTTGAATAATATGTAAAAATATAAAACACAGCCAAGTGCCAGATATAGTAATTCAAATATAAATAATAATTAAATAAATCTACAAATAAAACAATAAAAAAAAAACATAATAAATAAATTAAGATTAAAAAATTAATAAGAAGATAAAAGTCAAGCAAAAACTGTTTTAATACTTTAATGAGCCTTTTAGAAAGAGATGTTTGATGTAATTCTAGATGTTTGATGTAATTCTAACACCATTGTCCATGTTCAAAAGCAGAAGTAGCAATTGTATTTAATTTAATTTATGCAGAGTTTATTATAAAAAATCATTTTATCTTTTGATAAGTTTGTGCATAGTTTATCTTGAAGAATTCTTTTATTTTCTTTCATTGTAGTTTAAATTAATTTGAAATTGTTTTAATGTGCATTCAATTAAGTATACAGTAACAATTCTTGTGGTATTCCTTTGCTCCAATAATAAACCTATTATTACTTTGACTTATTGCCACCGCAAAACCAAGAAAGCTTACAAAATTTTTTTGTTTAATTCACCTCTCCCTACTTTAGAGGGCCCATAAAATCTTAAACACAAACCTTATTTAACATGGCCGCTGCATAAAAAAACTGGTTAAGCAGGGCACTTCCAGAAGCGTCGAATTAAAAATTATTGTCACATTGAAAAGATTATACTTGAATAAAATGCTAAATCTGACTTTTTATGTAGTGTTCAAACCTATCGATTGCAGTTTAGAATAAGAAATAAAACATTTATGACATTTACAGAGATATTTCAAATTTTCTTTTTAAAATTAATTACAAATAGTTTTTTTTTTAAATCTCTAACACATCATAAAAGTTATTTTTTGAAATCAAACAAATTATTAAATATTATTTACCTTATAATTATAAAAAATAAAGATACCTACCTGTCTCATCAGTTATGCATGTTAATTGTGAATTTTTCCCACCGCCATCTTTAGTAAAAGCAACCAACACTATATTATAATTAGTAAATGCATCTAAATTGATTACTTTATAACTTGTGGACTCTGTATTTAAGGATTCATATTGAATTTCTTCCGTGTCAACTTTTTGATAGGACAATGTATAGCCTATAAGTATACCTTGAAGGTACCCAGGTGGAGTTGGTTGCCAATGTATAGAAATAGAACAGTAAGTTATTATATCACATTGAAGATTGACAGCAGATAAAAGAGGAACTAAATATGTTTTTTTAATTCTTTAAAAAAATAAAAACTACAGAATTATTTTAAAAATATATTTAAATAAAGCTTTGGAACCAATTTTATTTAATTTAATTTTATCAAAATCTCAGACTTTTCTTTTTTTGTAAATTCTGTTAAAAAATGAAAGTTTTAAACCTCCTTCTTTGGTTTTGATTTCAACTCCAGAGCTAAATTTTCCTTGGTATTTTGTGTTAGCAGATATGTTGATTATATAAATTGTATTTCCAAACAAATTTGTGATGTTGAAGAATGTTGCATTAGGATTGCTTAAATTTGTTTTCCTAATAATTATAAAATATAAAATATCATCGAAATTGATTATAAAGTTTTCTAAAGTTAACAACATCTAAAATTATTATTAAACTAACACAAAATATATTATTTACACAAAAACTCGAAATTAAAAAATAAAAAAAACATAAAATTACTTGAATTAATTGTTTATTATCAAAACATATTTCTGAAACAAATCACTTTGTTGCAGAAATATATTTTATTTCCCATATAACTCTATGTATGTTACTCTATGTATGTTACTCTATGTATGTAACTCTATATAACTAATGTATGCATTGCCTATTTTAATAGCCTCCAGTAAAAAATCTAGCCTGTTACCTAAGTTTAAAGACTAACAATGAATACAGTGTTAAAAATAGAGTTTCAGATATTTTAACAAACTTTAATAATTTTTCAATCAATTTGAAATTGATGTTATTATTTTGGGTATTAAAGAAGCTATTTTTTGATTTAGCTTATAAAACTATTAAATAATTTTTATAATTTATAAAGATTTTTGAGTACCAAAACTAAAGCAATAATTAAAAAAAAAAACTTTTTTAATAATCAATTTTTTTTTATTTTTATTTTGAGTACTGTGAGTCAAAAAATAATAAAGAAAAAGTCATCAAATTTTAAATTTTGATTTACAAAATTTAAAATATCATTATTTACTCAATATATTGCAACTTGCAACAATGCTATGTAGCATGTTCAATTATTTTGACTGATCAATTGTATACACACATAATCTAGTTGGGTGTAAACAAGTTGAGTTGTTACTTTTGTAGCACTTGCAAATAGACTGGATGATGATTTAACTAGTTAATGATGATTTTTATTATTTTTCATAAAATTTAAAACCTTAGTTATTTTACAGGATGAGTTAAACAATTTAGTAAATAAGATGATTCAGGGTACTGTCATGATATTAGTGGTTTAAAAAAAATATTTTGGAATTAAACATACAAATGATAAATGTAAACTTTTTATAGACATTAAAAACTTAAAAACTTTTACACAACTGTAATACTTATGCATCACTGTGTTGCATTTAATGATAAAATCTTATCAAAATCTAGACAATACCAACAAATTCCTCAGAATCAGATGATATAGAGACATAGCATATTCTCCCTATTTATTAAGTGAATGTATATATTGAAACCCCTGGCAGCCCCCTTATTTAGTATGACATTACACTGCTATGAATGTATAATTTTCTTTTTAAAATTATGAGCAAATTGATGGGTTTTTCCTAAGAACTTTTTTCTTGATAATCTCTTCATAAGAAATTTTAAGAATCAGTCAAAATAGATCAAGTTGTATAATAGAGTAAAACTAGCTTTTTACAAATGTCAAGTTAATAACATTTTTCAGCTTTTCAGATCATAAAGCAATGATTTATTTTTCAGCCTGAACTCTAAATAAATCAAACAGTTCCATAATTACCACAACTTTTCTATATTTCTTATTTATATTTTATGACTTTCTCCAAACTGTATATATATAT